CCATCTTGGGCGTATGCCCGCCTCACATCATCATACAACGTTGTAGATGGGACTGAGGACGTCATAACCGCAACAGTGACTGTCTCACTGTTGGGTTTCGCGACTGTTTCAAAGTCGGGACAACGTGAGAGTGCATCAGCGACGACATTAAGTCGTCCTGGTTTGTACTCGACCGTAAAGTTGTATTCCGCAAAAAATGACAACCACCGCGCCATTCGTTGTGAAAGGTGCGGGCTGTTCACTGCCGTGCGTAATGACGCATGGTCAGTGTAAACAACGAAGGGTCTATCTCCTAATAGATAGACTCTGAACTTCGCGAGTGCATACTTCATGGCAAGGAGTTCCTTGTCATGCACTGGATAGTTCCGCTCAGCTGGTTGCAGCTGACGCGACTGATAGCAGACGACGCGTTCAACGCCTTCAAGATCGTACTGCATTAATGCACAGCCGATTGCGAAATCGCTGGCATCACAGACCACATGAAATGGCCTGTCCTGATCGGCTATTGCTAGGACTGGGGATTGTATCAAGCTCTGCTTGATACCCTCAAAGGAGCGTTGACATTCAGCGTTCCATAACCACCTCTCGTTCTTTTTCAACAAACGAGAGAGGTGCACAGTCATCTCGGCGTAATTGCGTGAATACTTATGCAAATACGCCGCTAGCCCAAGGAATTTTCGAAGACCTTTGACATCAACCGGCACAGGCCAGTCGGTGATCACCTTGATCTTTTCGGGATCAGGACGTACACCGTTCTTACCAACGATGCACCCAAGAAGTGGTATTTCGCTTGCGGCAAATATACACTTCTTGAGGTTTGCATACAATTGATGCTTTCGCATGATTGTAAGAACTAGCCGGACGTGGTACCTGTGAACCTCAACGGCCGACTTTCCATCCATAGCTCGACTATGGATGAATACGTCATCAAAATAACTCGGCGCGAATTCTCGTACTGGTCTCAACAGATGTGATACACATCTGTTGAACGTGGCAGGGGCATTACTGAGCCCTTGTGGCATTACTAGCCATTCCCAGAGCATGCCGCTAGGCGTGCTAACTGCGGTATAGGGTATATCCCGTTCCCGCATAAGGATTTGATAGAAGCCATCCATCAAATCCATGGACGAAAAGATGGTACTCTTTGACATACCATCAATGATTACGTCCTTCCTCGGTATCGGCGTCTGAGCCGGTACCGTTGCAGCGTTCAATTTGTTGAACGCGTGCACTATCCTCCACCCTCCTGTTGCTTTTCGCACACAGAAGGTCGGAGAGCTATGTGGGGAAGTTGATTCCCTCACATGGCCCGCAGCTAAACGATCGGCAAAGAACTTGTCGATCGCAAGTACTTGTTCACGAGGCAGTGGCCACTGCTTCATGACACAGTACTTCGAGCCTGGTTTAAGCTCGACCTCGTGTCGAATACCTTTATCCTTCGGTAATTCGCACGGAACAGTTTCAGGGAATACATCCTTGAATTCAACCAAATCTTCATAGAGAGGATTTGTCTTGAGCGATTCGCATGATTGGGAGTCATATCGCTCAATTCGTGTCTTTTCATCTAGGACACTCTCGTCCATAGATGAACTACTGAGAACTCTCTCGTTCTCAGTGAACACTGTTGCTGACCTTATGTCGGTTACACACTCGTCGTCAGCGACGAGTATGCAGATCTGCTTGACTTTGCCACTACGCAGATCACGCAAGAACCTTTTATGTTCGAGCGTTGGCAACTGAGTGATCTCCGAAGTCAACTTCGGAGGCGCAATCAGATCAAGTGTATAAGCGCCTACACTTGATCCGTTATTGACTATGACATTCAATGTCTCTGTCATTTCCTGGGGACTTATTCCCTCAGGCTTCGAAGGACTTATTCCTTCGTCTTCCCGGGGACTTATTCCCGCGGGTTTCGGGGAACTTATTTCCGCCGTATTTGTAATCTTGGGACTTATTCCCTTTACTTCCTCTAGCTGGGGTTGCGCAACCACAGCTAGATCCTCTACGAAAGACTCTCCAGTCGATCTAGGATTATCGTTTCGCTTAACCTGAGCGATCGATTGTTTCTCTTCTAGATGTTCCCCGCTAGGGATACATTTTTTCCCAGTCCACCCGACTTATTCGAGTGGTGGACCTTCGGCGCAGCCTGTGTTTCCTCACAGCCGCCGGAACTTTGCTCCGAAGTGTAACCGTTTGGTACACTAAGGTTTTGTGCAGTCGTACTAACGACCGTACCACAAGTGAGGCCATTGCACTCACTCGTAGTACATTCACACGCTTGTGGACGCTCCAAAACGTTCATCAGATGGCCATCTGATGAACAAGCGGCAGGCATCGTTACTGTTCGATGTTGCCAGTTTACCCGTGGTTCGTACCTTCTGAGCCACGGTATTCCAAGGATGACATCAAATTTGTCATCCAAATCCAATACGATAAAGTCATCGTCATATTGGGTATCTTCTAGCGTATAGTGGATCTTCACTATACGCTTCATGACGGTTACGGATGCGCCTGTCGCAAGACGTACCGTCATCCTCGTAGGAGGTGTGTCACATTCACTGAATTTAAAGTGACCATCTTCTAGCGATTGGCGTCGCACAAAATTGTTGGACGCCCCACAATCGACTAGAGCTCGAAGGGACAACTTATTCGTCACTTCGAGTTTCAAGGTAATGAGTGAGACCTCATTACCTAGAGCAGCAACGCACAACGTTTGTGTGCTGGGAGCAACCTTCATCAAGAGGTCTACAAATTCTCTTGACGTTGCTAGACCAGTAGGGTGCTCCGCACCTACTTATCCTGTCCGTTTTTTGACGGTCCATCCCGTTGTTGCGTCTTTGCACCAACTGCGGACCCTCGTCCCTGCCCCTTTCTCATGGGTGGACGGTCACTACGCCCAGTGTCGCGAGACACTGGACGAGGGGCACTACACTCGTAAGCGTAGTGTCCTGTCTTTTGACATCTGTTGCATCTCTGCAACTTCTTGTAGCCTGTAGAGCGATCCTTCTCGCTCTCTACATAACAGAGTTCCATCGGCTCTGGACCTCCGTTGTCATATCGTCTCGGTTGACGATATGATGTCGAGCTGGCGCGAGCCTGTCTCAGACTGAAGTCTTCCTGCTCCGCAATGGAAATGGCTTGTTCTAGTGAATCTAGTTCAAGCCGGAACAGGTGAGTCTTGACGGGACCATCCGTAAGACCCTGCATGAACACCGAAACCAACGTGTGTTCATCCACCGGATTGGAACTTATACAACTCGTGAGATGTCGTATATGTTGGGCGTAAGCGTGCACATCACGCTTACCCTGTTTGACCTTCAAGAGTTCGGTTCGAGCCCTGAACTCAGCTCTAGGCGGTTCAAACGTTTGTCTGAGCCGCGACTTGAAGACTTCCAACGACCCAAACGCATATGGGTCGTGCAACTTGAGCCCCAGTGCCCAAGTCTTGGCACGTCCTGCCAGATTTGACTGGGCAAATGCAACTTGCATATCCCCGTCGTCGATGCGACGCGCCCTTATGGCGTCATCCAATTCGACGAACCATCTCAAGAGGGAGTCTTCTTCGACCCCCCTATACTTTGAGATGTCAATCTTCAAAGTCTCGGGTCGACGCGAGTGCATCGACCCGCCAGCAGCAGCCTGCTGCTGTCTCAACAGTTCAAACTGTTGAGCACCCTGTTCTCTCAACAACTCTGCTTGTTGAGAACCTTGTTGGTGAAGCAAGGCTACTTTCTCGCGTTCAGCGTCAAGTTCATTTTGAATGAACTTGGCGATAGTAGCATGTTGGGCATCTCTATTGAGAGCCTCTAGCATGACGCTAACAGCATGGATGCCCATGGTCGAACCCATTCGTTCAACCGCATCCCATTCGACATCGCTCAAATGGGAGTAGCCGTCACGCGTAGCGTGAAAGCTTTGGTCATCTTCATCATCCAACATATTCATGTTAGATGTGAACGTGGTCCTTGGACGGACTACGAAGTGCTACCAGGTGTAACGGCGCACCCTGAAGCTTGTACTGGTGACAGTACAAGCTACTTATTCTGATGACAGAATAAGGCGGTGTCTCGTAACTTCACGTACACTGGTACGTGCAGAGGAAGACGGTAAGAAGAAGCGAGTACTTGGTTAGAGTAAAAAGTAGAACTGTATTTATAATAGTTAATGTCTGCAATAAATCACTATTTATCTTCATCTAACTATGTCTAAATACAAATGTGTAAATCAGTTATCTGCTCACCACTCATTGCGTGCGTCTGTCGTGGCGCGTCTTCGTTGGTTGATATAATGGCCTATATCAACCAATTAGGAACTACTCGTAAGTGCTACAGAATATTTGTCCTTATGACAATATTCTGAGAATATAACTCTTATAGTTATATTCTATTAACAATTTCTTATAAATTGTTATGTAACGATTCACCCCGTTACAATGATGACTTACCATCCAAAGAAAATACCTCAGGCTCATACAGCACATAGATTGAATCGATTTGAGTCCTAGGGCCACAACTTCTCAAAAGCTCCTACTTTGTACTTTATCGTTTTCTCTACTCGTGCGTGCACTGCAACTAGTACGTTTCTTCCCTTACCGTCGCGTATGTCATAACTATAGGAACATGCGGTGGTCGGTAGGGCATTGCTAGCCTCGTGGTGGCGGGCCAAAATGGTCGCAACGAGAAAAGGAGGAGGACTGCTTCGCGTCGTGCGGGCGTCTTCGTCACAGCCTGCAAAGCCCAGCGTACATGCAACAACGAGCGCCTATCTGAAACATTACAGATTGAGACAAATCGATTACACTGGGTGAGTCTGTAGATTTCTATACAAATTATCGTCAGTCACAAGGTATCCGCCGCCACCACCTCAATGAAGCTACACAGAGAACGTTGTGCCAATTACCTTCGCTGTCTACGACTCCCACGTGCCGCGCGACAAAGCGAGGTTGCACAACGTTCAGCTCCACGTCTGGGATCCAAAGCTCAACCGCAACCACACTTCGATCATCCGCTTGCTCCATGTTTGAGTTTCGCTGTGCTTGGTTTCGTACCCGCCGCGGCCCCAAGTTCCATGCAGTGACGATAAAAATACCTCAGCAGACGATGTTCGTCGTGCTCAGTATAAACGTGTATGTCTCGACACTTTTCTATGTAAGCCTTGATTGGACCAAAATCTTCAAACAAATGCGCGCCCCCAATTACCGCACCATACTTCTTTCGATAGTTTACTTTCAGACCAGAAGGCAGCATCCAGTAAACTGTTTCTGGGCTCAATTGTGCTCCTAGCCACAGAGGATGCATTGTACTCGATACCACCTGTGGATACCGAATAGCGATGACCCTCTGCATGCGGTCAGCATGGAACATCATGTCCGGTTCAGACCGAAGCGCGTGAAAAGCTTCTACCAGATCGGTGAGGTCGACGTGCTTGGTGTTTACCAACAAATCGACCACCTCATCGTATCTCCAACGACGATGGAGTTGGAGCTCGTCACGTAACAGTTCCACAAACTTCGTCTTATCGACGATCTTCCCATTTACGAGGAGCTCCTTATCCTTCATACCCTTAGTGATCTTAACCTCGAGAGCTGCTGTATTTGATGGCATTACATACCGGATGCCCTTCCACAGCGAGTTGAATGCATCCGATACAACCGACGTAGAGATCGCCCTGTCCTCTCCTTTCTGGTCTTCAGGGCTGCTCTTGTCGATAGCGGAGTCGTGAACTTCCGTAAGTATTGGTGCAACCAACGCAGACTCATCCACGCGTGGATCTACAAAGGAAGAGGTGAGAACAGCAGTGTCGGCTCCGTTGACACCAGTGGTGTTTAGTCCGGCAGTTCCTCGTGCACAAATGACCAAGAGCGACAAGAGATATGGCAGACGCATGATGAGTATGAATGGCTGGCTACCAGTCAATTGCGAAAGTGTGATACTAGCTGCGATCTTTGTGGCCACAAAAGAAGAACTTGTTGAAGTGAATAACCTTTCTAAACAATTGACAAATATCTGTACAGACCAGTCCATACTGGTGATAAGTCGCGAATGGGGCTTGTAACCTCCGTTGACTGACATGTTCCCAGTGTCGAGGGTATCAGCTAACATGTCGAACTGTACAGATGCGTAGACAAGGACCGCCTTCAATTTCTTAGAATTCAAGATCGCATGAAATTCTTGACCCAGGAGTGGGAACCACAGGGTCGTACGAGCAAGACCGGGTCTGGCTTCGTAACGCACTAGAGCTTAATTGTCATAGTAATCTGGAGTTTGCTACCGCTCCCATATCACGTGCGTGTGCAGTGCACGCGGATGTGCATGGGGCTAGTTAGTTATTCATGAGATTTCGAAAGCTCTTACCCAGTTTTAGTACCCCAGCTAATCGAATTCCCCGTTACTGATCCCTTTTTTTCTAATTTCTTGCTGGAATTTACTACTAGTCTTTCTTTGTGAAGTGTACGAATGAACTCAAGAGAACCACACTCACGATAACGTTTGCATGACAAATGGCGGTTGGTAGAACTTTGGATCAAGCATCTGTACAGCAGCTTAACAGCTCTCGTGAGGTATCCGATACGCGAATACTTCGATCTTTCAATGTTGACAAGCAGGGCAACTCATGGCTGGAATGCATTGAGCCAAGCCACTTTTTTTAAGATACATTCGAGTGTGTCGGACATTTAGGTGAGCTACCTGAAGATTATCGAAAAGAGCTGGCGTGCATTTGTCTTTTGCGTGATCCAATATCGTGTTTACCCGGAAGTGGGATTAATGCAAAAAACTTGATGCCGTCCGACCACGAACAAACGTACATGTATGGAGACTGTATACAGTGCATGCGTATACAGAGAGACTCAAATGGGCATATCAACAACAAGCTGCCAATTAGCGGTGAGGGGCCCTCGAACAATACGATCACATGGCTTTTAGTATCGGCAACTGAAAGCATACCTCCATTCCAATGTCATGCTGTGCTGCTTCGAAGCAGTTCCAACTCACGTAGTCAAAGCGGGCATTGTCACTTGCTATCGCAACTATATGCGCCACACGACAAGCGACAGCACTAAAGGTGGAACCCCCAACGTGTAACGGTCAGTCTTGAGCGACGCCTGGAGGTGCAGCGCATGTTTGCAGTGATGCACAGCGTTTCCCGTTGCTTGAGCTGTCTTGTACGCCAACAGGTCCTCAATGCCGCTTTACGCGTCAAACAGCGCACCCTTTGAATCTGCAACGCCCTTTTTTATGGCTGGTGCAGCGTCGAGAAGACACTCACGTATTTTCTCGCGGTACCGCAATACACCCACTGCTACGACAGCTAGCGCGATGGCTGTACCGCCCATCACTACGTACCAACTAATGTCGTCATCGTTCTTGATAGCAGTCCGTTGCGTGCGAGTAGATGCGGGCGACAGAAACGGATATGCCGCATCAGTCGCCATCAGCTCACCGTTCATCTCTCTCGCTGTCGGTAGCACCTGTGATGAAGACTGCATAGCCTTCTTGTTGGCATTCTGAGCCGCCAAGTATGCCAACTGAATGCGGCCAAGTAGTTGCTATATCATCCACATCCCGCGCACACGTAAACGTCATCGCAATCATCGCAAGACATCAGTTCAAGTCTCGTACCAACTTTGTCTCTTCGTCCAGCTCAATCTGATCCTGCACGAACTGTTGTGCAGCTTCAACTCCTTCATCAGGCAATACTAACTGCAAGACCATGATCTCAGCAGCTGTGGCGTATTCTTCGTTACAAAAACCGATTCTCTCGACTACAGTTGAAGACTTCATGAAGTCTCGTAGCGCCTGCTTGGCCATCAGTCGACGGTCCATCGCCAGCAGGAACTTAATCCATTGAATCGAGACTCTGCTTTCCAGAGGTGCAAAAGATTCCATCACACTTGCTGCCGTATCCACTTCATCGTCCAAATTCTGTTCAAAGAGCAGCTGGAGATACACGGACAGCACTCGTTCTCTACAGTACCAACAAATTGGAGGGAAAAAAAGTATGACAACCAAAAATAAAGCAGAACACGTACGAAATACGCATCAATTCGGCCGATAGCAGTCACGTCACGTACTCTTCCGCCGTCATTACCGGTATCTCCCGGGACGCTTGTCGGCGCTGTCCAAATTACGTTCGTTTTGTTAAAAATGGGTACTAGCGAGCACAATAGCTCCCCTTTTTAGGCGATTTACCTGCGCAATTCGCGCAACAAGGAGCCGACGACTATCCTTGAGTGCTAGTGTCCATTCTTTACGTAAAAAGGCTTCTTCTACTGCATGAACAGAGGCCACGAACGAAGAAGAAGAAGACGAAGCCATTGAGAGTGCGTGAGTTGGATGATGCATCATACCGCCATACCGGCTTCTACCGGTTGCATCGTAAAACCGGTATCCACTCGCTCTCCGGTATTACACATTCTACCGGTAGGGTGCCGACTCAGCGATAGATAGACCCTTTTCAAAATGACCAGCACGTCGCCGGTCGCTCAACCTGAGTCGATTGTATCAGCATTGGCATCTGATTCTGCTCAACATGTGCTTGAGTTTCCTCCGCAAGCCTCAGACGATGACTTTGCCAAAGCACTTGAGACGAATTATCAAAGCAAGAAGCTTCGGGCAGCCTGTACGCAGCTAGGCCTGAACCCTCGGGCTGATCCGATGATGGACCATAAAAATGGGTACATTAAATTACTGACCCAGTACCGACGCGCGCTGCAGCGGGGCGAGGTTTTTTCCGGTTACCCTCAAAAACCGACGACAAAACGGACAATCTCCTTACGGACGAGGGGAGGCAGTAGTCGGGCCAAGCATTATGGGTTCAGATTGATTAATGTGGTGTTCAGTCGTGGTTTTATTGGACGAATTCACGAGTCCGGTATTTTGCTCTTATTACGAGGGAAGGAGGTAAAAAAGGGTACAGACGGTCGATCGGAATACTGGAAAGATGTTGCGACGGCGTATACGACGGAGGATGCTGAATATGATCAAATTACCGGTTCAAGTGGCCGGTATGACGGTATCGATCCGACCCTGGCACCGCAGTATTCGTCGGTGAAACTCTGTTCAATTTGGAAGGATATTACAGCTCGGTACAAGGCGAGTTTGGCTCGTTGGAAGCAGTTGCGGACGTCCGACGATGTCGGATTTGCCGATTTTTGTAGTGACTTGGATGTGGTGTACCTGTACGAGAAGCTTCAGATGGAAATGGACCAAGTGGATTCAGAAGAGCTGCGGCCTTCGAAACGAGCACGAACCGGGGACGGCGTTGAGGAACGAGAAACGGATGGAGCTGATGCTGTCAACTTGGACGCGGAGGAGCGCATGATGGAGCGTGGCAACTTGTCAGAACCGTCTGAAACTAGTCAAACGCTTTCTCGCTGTGCAGCTATGCGACAGTTTGTTCCAGCCAATAATGAGGGACGTTCGCGTCTTGGTACGTATGATGGAGTGATTTACTCGTCGCAAGCGGTGCGCGACACGACGTCAGCAATCGAAGCGTTGAAGCGCAGCAGTTTCGATCGCACTGTCATTGCTCAGGCTGAAGAAAGTATGGAAGCGCTCGTACAGGTCTGGCTTCGAGAGTTGGCAAAGGTTAGACAATCAGGAGCGCGCTAAGATGCATTGACGATGGTAGTTGTATCTCGGTCTGTCCTCCTATGGTTGAGCCCTCGTAGTGACTGCTTTGTTGTCTGCAGGCGTACACGTCGTTTTCGCTACTCCAGCCGAGCAGAACGAATACAGAAATGTACGCTTGACTTCACGCTTTGTACAGCGACGTTTCTTGGCATTTTTGTGTGGCACTGAGTTCAGTGCTTAGATCAAGGATTACTTTCAGACCCGATCGTAAGTGAGCTATTGTCCGTGCATTCTCATACAAGTGTTGCACCGATGACTGCAATCATGATTTAAACGCCACACAGCATATATAACACTAGCTAGAGTCACCACATTTTGTAATGCACCCGTCCCTGTGACCGATCGACGGTCGTACACTTGTGTAAATATACCGATTCGGCGTACAATGCTGAGACCAGACTTACATATCTCGGTATCTGTAATCCAAACCTCTACTTTGATCGCATAGTATTTTTAGCAAGATCGTAGCTGTCCACAAAGAAGACTCGATCCAGATATCGTTCATGGTGATTCAATGTCATCGAGACTTTCAATGCTGTGGACGAATGTCATGCATCTAAATGATGCTAAAGCAAAGCAGCAATGCTGATGACTTTATCATAAGCTACCGTTACGATTGGTACCGACTTGAGTAGCTCGAAAGAGCAAGTGGTTCGCAGCTGGAATATTATTTTGCGATTACAGAGCTCTTCCACCATCCCCGCTTGACTCTTGATCCGTAGGTCTGCTCAGCACATTCGACTGAGAGCGCCAACACGTACTCTAGCTTCGGTTCGGCCTTTCGGTCCATTGACCATTGAAGTTTGCGTTAAATGACGCCGTCAAGCCGCAGGACTTACTTTGTTGACATGGACCTGCGGCGCTCAGGTGACTCCATATCGTTGCGGTTGCTTCGAATGGCACGCATGCCTGGACCAGAATAGGATGCCCGGCGAGCGTAGTAGGAAGCTTGTTGGAAGATCCGCTCGACGGATGCGTCTTCCGCTGAAGGGGGCGCCAAAAGCGGCAGCAAGAACTCTTCGTCTTCAGGCAACGACCGTTTGGCAACGATGTAGATACCCAATAGGATCAATACGAGACTTAGCGAATAGAGCACATAGTGCCAGGCCGGCAGGTGGTCCATATCGCGAAAGAAACACAGTCCAGAGATCGCCCCCGCCATGATATAACTTGCCTCGTACAAATAAATGACCACGACAGCGTCTTCCACGGCAAGTGCTTCGTTCAAGAGGTACAGTCCAAACAGTGCGGTTCCCACTGCTCCAAGGATACAGATATAAGTCGCTGGGAAGCACCAGATGCGACTCCTCGCTCCATCGTCATGCACGATCCGCATCACAGCAGCAAGAAAGAACAATTGGCCGCTCATGACACCGGCAAAGACACTCAACGAGACGCGAGCCATGAGTGAAAGTTGCTCCGGACTCGACACTGGAGAGCTCTTGACTCCAGCGCGTCGCGACGTCGTTGTAAAGTGAAGTGCATGTTTTGCATAGTGGATCAAGAAGCTCAGTACTGCTAGCAGCACGAGTGCATAGAGCAGAAAAGAAGGTGCGGTGAAGCGAGCCGCCAATTGCTCAACAGGCAGTGGGGGGCTCTCGTGGGTGCCCGAGACACTAACCAGCACACAACCTGTGAAAATGAGCACAGCCCCGACAAAGTCATTGGTCGTGAGACGTTCATGAGGCAGCAAGATAGGCCCCAACAGGGTGTTCCAGCCAATCGTCAGACCGGCCATAGGAGCCAGTAAGGACTGCGTGGCAAAGCAGTAGGCGAGAGCCCCTAGGGCTGGATTCAGCACGAGCATGGACACGAGTCCGCAATAAAAATAGGTACACCCTCGATTGGTTGGGATGACCACGGGGGAATTTCGAGTTGAAGTCTTTGCTGGAGCTGGCACTTGGTACTGGAGCTGGTCCAGGAGCTCTTCTTCGCGATCGCGTTCGTTGTGCGCGAGCTTGAGCAGCAGTTTCCCGGTGATGCCAAAGACGCTTGAGATGGCGGAGAGGAGGAGCCCTAGGGGCCAGCCAATGAACCACATCTTCAACTGGTTCGGGTTGCTGGAATTGAGAGAGATTGGGATACTGGGAATGAATATCGATAGGGCATGGATGGGATGCAGTATGTAGGTAGTTGGCACATTGTTTGTCGTCGGTTGGGACGGTGAAACGGATTTGACGGGGGCGTGCGACGGTTCTGAAGGATTCGGTCGCGGTGGTGGTTTCGGTTCGTCGAGTATAGTGTGTGCTACACGAGAAATGAAGGACCTCTTATGAGCGACAGATGCAGAAAGGGCATGGAGGGGAGTGGTCGTCTCGTTGCTTTTCTTTTCTCTCTCTCTCTCTCTCTTTTTTTTTAATCGTCGTATGACGGAATCTGATTGTAGTCATACCCTTTCCAGCCTTTCCATGCACCGTAGAGCTGAAAGCTTGCGTAGCTACCCGGAATGAATGCTGCGTAAATGAGAATCACCACGTAAGACGGATTTATTTGAGCGACACGTGCGAAAATCAGGTTAGTAAAAGCAGCATAACAGGATGATTCGTGGGAGCATACTAGGATACCGTGTCGTTCATCTTACCGATGAGCCCGAGGATGAAGCACGACAACCCGCGGTTTTCTTCGTCCAGACCAATGAACATGCTTATGATGATCAAGATCCACCCAACAATCAAGAGACTCGCCGCTGCTAGTCCCGTGCGGATTGGAAACACCTTGCGGCAATAGTTTCGATCCTCGAAGCAAGTATTCAAGCAGCAAAAAAAATCAATTTATGTACATGAAGCCTCAGTACGAACAAGTCATTGCCACCAACCAGCAGCAATCACAAATACAAAAAGCAGCATACCACGAAAGCAGCTCGACCCGCATGGTTCCTAGCTGACGACGCATCGATCGTAGCAGCGTCAACGACCTCTTGGTCGCTCACCTTTGCGACTCGCTGGTACACGTTCTTGACCATGATCGTCAAAGCAATCGGCCACCAACTCTGCTAATGGCTACAAATGACACAAGCAAAACAACACAAAAACAGCCTACCACGTCCCGAATAAAAACCGCCTCCTCGGTAATCCCCATCTTGATTCATGCCGTGCAAAAACATTGAAAAACCCACGTGTCTAAAACCCCACAAAACCCACATGTCATAAACTCCTTTCGCCGTGTCAAAAATGCCGCGCTGCATTTGCGTCGAGTGCGGCGCGCCCGTCTCAGCGCTCGTGCGTGATTACGGCAAAGGCAACTTGCGGCTCACGATCTGCAGCGTCTGCAATGCGGTTGCCGACAAGTACGTCGAGTACGAGACGATTGTGCTCTTCCTAGACGTGCTGCTGCTCAAGCCGCCAGTGTACCGCCATGTCCTGTGTAACCTGCCAGCCCCTGTCTCTCTTCGCACGACGCTCAAGCTCTTTGTGATTCTAGTGATGCTGGACATGAACCTCAAGGCTTATCTCGTGGACCAAGACGCGGGAGTGACTTTTCGGGCCACATCCATGTACAAAATGCCCGACGCAACGCGGCCATTTTTGACGTCTGGGCGACGGATCGGGCAGTTTGCCCTGCACTTGCTGTGTCTTTCCCTGCTGGAGAACGTCGTGTACTTTGCCAGTGTCTTTGCTGGTATCTGGCTCGATCCTTTTCGCCGCCAATGGCGAGTCAAGTTGCAGACAAATGGACACGAAGCGCGTGTCGAAAATACCAGCGATGCACCGTGGATGAGGTGTAGCAGTGCTCTCTGCATTGCTAGTTTTGGCAAGCTGTTTGCGCTCATGACGGTCATTTGGGAAGTCCATTGGAGCTTCGTGCATGTGATTGGAGCGCTGGTCGTTGTGTCAAATGTGCTGGCACTGCAGTTGCTGCTGGGCGAGCAAGATCCGGCTCATGCGACGTCGCTGCATGTTGTTGCAGTTGTCGCGGGTGGAACAGTTGCTAAAGCTGCTGCTCAACTTGCACTGTACGCGATGGGCAACTCAGTGCTCTTCCACGTACTCGTCTAGTTGGCGACGGCCGATCACGACAATGCGGTACTGTTGCCAAAGAGACGGACGTTGGCAGAGCGTCGCGTTTTGCAAAACAGCGAAAAGCGCTGCCTACGGTCAGCGAGCTGTACGTAATGAGCTGAGCCGTGACGTGACGAATCGGCTTGGGGCTGCGCTGTAGAAAATGACGTAGTATCAAGCAATCGCGACCATGTCACGCAGCTAAATATGGCAACGGCACGTCAAGTACGTCAAGAAGCTGTCCCCGATTTCCCATTCCAAAACGATCGTGCGCGCGGCACGAAACTGCGTGAAAAGCCAACAAGCAGCACAACCAACTAGCTATTCCAATTCCCCGAAAAACAAGAGCCTTTCGCTCGACCCTCACGTGAGAGAGGCAAAGTCCATAGCGAGATGGCGCACCTGTTCTAGCTGAGTCGCTGCGCGTTGCATCCGCTGCACATCGGCCGTTGCTACGCGTCGTTTCTCCTCTACAACGCGATCGAGTTCTTGATTCCTCGTCTCCAAAGCTTTGACCAGCCGCTCAAGCTCGTCCTTTTCTTCCAGCTTGGCACGCAGCCGTTCCGCACGTACCCACGCTGCGGGTGTCGCCTTCGTTGCCTGCTGTACCTCTTCACTGTCCAGATTAACGTCCATGTGCTTGTTGTCGCTGTTCCTCGTCTTCTGCTCACGCTCTTTCTTCTCCTCAGCTGTGGCGTGACGCAGCTGTCGCTCTTCCGCCTCATGGAGAAGACCTTCCAGCTCCAGCAGCTCTGTATCCACGTCGTGTGTCTCACAAAGCCACTGGAAAAGCGTCTCCACCTTCTGTCTCAAACTCATGACTGCTTGGGCCGCCACTTCCTCGGTATTGGGCTCGTCCGGGCTCTCAGGTCTTGCGGACGGAAAGAACACAGCAAGGAGGTCGTCATCTCCGCGGCATTCGCTCTCTAGACACGCACGAAGATCCACGAGCGACGCAGCGTGCACCGACACCTCGAGCGCTTTCTGTAGAATCAGCTGCATGCGTTTCATGCGGACCGACTCGCGTGGTTTGGCCGTCAGAGACGGCGCCGGAGACGGCGGCACAGCCAGCATCCTCGCGAAGCTGTCGACTTCGAGCAGCGGTGTCAGAGTCTGGGTTTTGACCAATCAAAACGCAGGAATGCGGATCAGTTGCTGCTTGATGCGATCACTTTTTTTGAGCTAGTTTAGAAACAGATTTTGCTTTTTGTAACTTCTTTTACAAAAAGAGTCGACTCAGATTCTAAATCTTGCAAACGCCTGCTTCGACAACGCCCGTCATGTGGTCCTCGGCGCTGCGACAGAAACTGCAGCTTCTCGTCATTGTGTTCTTTGTCTTTGTCGCGTTTGCAGCTTCTGATGCAGCCTGGATGCTCTGGGTTTGTTGTGCTCGTCATATTGGGAATGCTTTTCTTCTTCGATGCTGGATCTTACGGGAGACTCGTTTGTTCTTAATTTGGGTTCCCTGCAGGCTACACTGGTGGTTTTCTTGCTCATGCTGCTCATGGTAGACTTGCTCTTTCTGAACGAAGGAGACTTTAAGTACGATCCGGATTACAAGGTGAGGCAGAGAAAGATGGAAAAACACTTTTTATTCGGAAGAAGAAGAAGTACATTTCTGACAAGCTGTTGACTGTGATATGACAGAATTGGGCTCGTTCTGTCGACCCGAAATACTGACGAACAAGGACTGTGCTCCTACCACTACTGTAGTGAACGTGGGGAGAGAGGGAGAGAGCAGATAGATATACAACGAATTCAGAAAAACACGACGTGAGGCGCTATGACCTGTCTGTGACCATTCTTGCAAGCTAGAGAAGAGCGAGTGCGTACTTGCAACCTATAGTCATTGGAGTCCATGTGCGATTGTTCCTTTGATCTCGCTTAGAGCGACTAGATTGTAAGTCATCGCACAGATATAGTGCGAGAATGTGCGGGTCGTCATAATCGCAGCGTCGGTATTGATTCAGCACATTGAGTCACCCATGCCGATGTTCGCTCAACTTGAGCTTGAAGACCACAAACCCACAAGGAAAAAATGTAGAGTTTAATTCCGCTAGTTTAGTGCAGGATTCGTGCTAAACGTCATCGACAATCACGAAGAGAGTCATTAACGTGCTTATGTGCAGTGAGTGACACATCGTAGTTTTCATGTTGTACCGACAAGTTATGTCGCATCCCCGCTGTGACAATTATGCACAAACATAGCAATGAAATATGAGAACTTTAGCAAACGCTAATCGTGTACCCCGTCTTGTGCCACTTTCGTCGAAACCTTCGTCCTTTGTTCCACACTACAAATTGTTTGTACCCAACTGACTAATTACCGCTGCAGCAGGATGGTCAATAGTGCCGGATTGACGGTATTGGTAGATCAAGATGTCTGATTCCACAGACGTTTTATCCAGAGGCACCTAGAGTATAATAACATCATTCTTTGACAGCTGCGCAGCGAATAATCGGTGTATGAATGGTAAGAGTGTTTTAATGACGACGTTGGCGCCAGTGATGGCACCCATACAGCGCAAAGCATGTGTAGAATGTTTTGCACCGTCGCTTACGAAAACGAAACAGATTTCCGTCAAGTCTTCGTGCTCAGGGTCCCATGTGGTGCATATTCAACATGGATGTAAAAGGATTTGTGAATAACTCATCAAACTATAGAGCAAGACTAAAACCATGATGAGTGCCTTAGATGTCACTCCGATTATACACGACCTGCTCATGAGCACAACACAAGAAGAGATTCAGCCTTTCGGTTTAGTACATCTCGTGTTAAACCACAAGAAACGTACAAAAATGTCCGCGATAAGTGACGAACAAAACCTCTATACCGGAACCCGAGCACTGTCGAGCTCGTAGCTAGCATGTTGATGACATAAAGACATCCATCACCAGGGCCGTTCGACACTAACCACGGCAGCTAGAAACTGGTAGATCATTCGATATTGCTCCTGCATACAACAACGGAGCTCGATGAATGTTCGTATGTAAACGACAGCACGATTTATGAGAGACGTACCGGAGTTTGTACCATACCAGGTCGCTGTGACCGCAGGCGGTGTACGACGCGTCGAATGTCCATTGCATGCCGTATCGCTTGCGCTCTCTCCTCTTCACTGTTAATTGTTTCGGTGAGTACCCGATTCAGTTGCTTCAATAGAATGTCGATAGCAATGAACGTGCCAGACCGCCCGACGCCCGCACTGCAGTGTACCACCACTCTCGCATCCACATTATGCAATCTTGACGCCTCGTGTTGATAGCTGTTTACGCTGTCTAGAAGTTGAGCAACAACTCGGTAGTTCTGCAGCACTCCATGGTCCGGCCACGACGTCAGCTGAAAGTGCTGAATCGCTCGACTTTCGCTCTCTTGTCCCGCGTCGTCCACTTTCCAGACCTTAAACTCTCTAACCACAATGCTTGGACTCGACGGCATCTCATTTTCAGCCATGAGCTTCACGAACACTCCATCAAAGTCCACTGCCTGGTCAACATGTGTGTCCCAGTACATGTCAGCCGACAGTCTCGCTTGCTCGACAAACTTTGTGAGCATGAGCACAACGTATACGTCGCATTGCCAGACCATGTGCCAAAAGTCTCGAATCGCAGCAGGTACGGGTGCACCGCAGGCAATGTAGCCTCCATCAATGTAATTGGCGTTGATATAATCGTCTGCCAAGTCCGCAAGCTTCACGCGCGTCTTCTCAAATGGCAAGATGTTATTGTACCGGTTCTTGGCCTTCCTTGCTCTCGTTTGCGGTGTGAGCAGCAAATCGTATCCAGGTGCATTGCTAATGCAGCGACAGAGCTCCCTGTACTCAAGTTCAAAGCCTGATAAACCAGAGCGGCTATCGCTGTGCTGGAGACGCCTCGTCTTGCTTAGAAACACCTCTATTGCTGCCGAGATGATCGGCGAAGTACTGTAAAGCTGTTGAGTTCTGACCAAGGCATCGCGCAGTGACACGACGTTGCAAGAGGAGCGACTGGGTGACGACGCCATGAGTCGACACACACGGGATAGTCGTCAGTCGTTTGGACGGGGTCAAGTGATGTGGTGGACGCTACGAGCAGCTCAATTAGATCTTCGAAGAGCTCTTTTTTTGTTCGACTTGTCTCACCTGACACGAACCGTTACACAAGTTCAGTTTTCGCCAAGTCGCAACCTGACTCTCGCATACAAAAAGAGAGAGAAAACGATGCGTAGTCGTGACGTAATGGAACGTTTGATGTCGCAGCCATTCGAAGGCACGGGAAAGTGGGGTGAGAGGCCCGTTCGTGGCATGAAACATGAACAAACTTCAAGTATAAATAACGTGCACGTTGAGCGTCCAACATTTTCATGTCGATGCGAAGGAAGAATTTTTATTGAAAATCGCGTCGGTAGTACTGCAGGTACGCGATCAGTATGTGGCTTGCGAACGTGCTCATTCTCAATTCAGAGCAATGACAGCATCGAGTAGAAACTTCGACCACAAAGCCCATGCGCAACACCGTTGGCAGCGGTTTTGGAATCACGACTCGAAGGGGTACGCCGGATTCTCCTTCATTGCAGGTGGCCTTCAGCTTGCGAAGGTGATTACTTCGCACAAGAAAGCAGGCATCACGTTCTTGGCGAAGCGAGCAACTGCGGCGCTCCCGGCACTCGTGGGATACCCATTAGTGATTGGCATTGCGGGTGCCGAGCTCCTAGTGTGGGGGTCGTCGTACGTTAACGCTGGTAAGAACGAAGGCACTTCTCGAATTACACGTGATGCCAAACTGGCTCCTGCAGCGTTCGCCGTGTATGGCACTACGCTGAATGTCGTGTATCCAATCGCTGGTCATTTCCGTCGTGTACGTTCGTGGTTCCGCCCCGTGAAGTGGGGTGCACTTGGTCTGGTCCTAAATCACGCCATCTCGAAAGTGTCGGCTATATCTCAAGACAAAGAACCAATCCAGCATAAAGTCGAGCTGAAGTAGGCGATTCGCGTGGGGTAGCAATCAGAGAGCAGCTGTTGGATTGATTGGAAAGCCAACGAGGTATCTTGCTTTACCACCGATACACGATTTTGCCATCGCTGATCTCGAGTTGGCCTCAAGTTGAGCTGCCGGAAGACGATACCGCAATTGCTGCTGAAGTGAGGATGAACGATCTCTGTTCCACTTTGGTTAGCATCCGCATCTGCTCTTCACGAAAGAGCACCAGTACTGACCATTGGATTTTTGGTCGCTCTGTCTGCTGTCGGCGTAAGCGATGTATCCTAGAAACACGAACCTTATCATCACGAACATTATAACCAGATCTCACATCTCCGCTGCTTTCTTTCGTGTTGATCTGATCATCGATTTCATGATGGTGTAAAATGGAGATAGCAAACGAAATGAACGTACACCTTTCTCGATCAACATCAACAACTTCAACGTTATGGCGCTCCCATCGAATCTCCGCTTGTCCAACTTGCTTCCAAGTTCGCACAAAGCGCAAATCACATAGTTGCTCACGTACCTGACATTAGTGAAGTATAAACCTCCTGTGATCTGACTGACATGCAGCGATCCAGAACAGTACGGTGCTTCTTTTTTGCCGTTTTGGCACATGATGACACGAACGCTTCGACAACGTTAAATCATGTTTTGTAACGATGATGCACATGCCAGGACTCGCACAGACGGTCCAGCTCCGTTGTGCCGACTTGATACTTGGCAAGAGCACTTCCATTTATTGGCGGCGTCGTGACATCCGCAATGTCATCGGGTGCATGCGTCAGGATGATGGTCTATCTGTGCTAAAACGCAACTTATCTGACTCATGTTGCCAGTACCTGAGCAAGTATTGAGCTCCATTTGAGCACATTATTTACCACAGCTTGTTCCAGTCAAGTATCGTAATTACTACAAGATCTCGTGGGCTTGGACTTCTAACTTCCACTGTGATAAGCTGACATTGCATGATGAGCAGTGAATTGCTCGCGATAGACTTTTCGCCGTCTACGTTATCGTTCTAGATCACCTCAGCTTTCCAGATCGACAATTGTATTCGCCCTCGTTTTGCCATGTTGCAGCTCAATTTCTTCCTTGCACTTTGATCTGAATAGCGTGGTCGGCCTTCGGGTCATTTAGTGCTTTCACCCGCTCGTAATTGCAAAAATGATCTCCTTCGAGAAACCTGCATTGTGACGACATTGTACTGATGGGACCAATAACGAATCCAACTATTGGCAAAGCTTGTCAGGCCAAGCATCATAACATTACTTATAAAAACGAATTTGCTTGCGGTGCGGCTAAAACACGACAACATCTATAAAGTGTACCAGCCTGCAATTCATGCTCGATTGTTCTGCTACGACACGAAAAACACGACAATGGGTGAAGAAACGCTATAACGAGATAAATGTCCGGTTTCGAGCCGACCATGCCCTCATACGTCGTACAACCCGCGCCTTTGCTGTTTACGCAATTTTTACTCATACACCATTTCCAAGCGCAAGACCCGCAAAGTCCTCAGAAGTCAGCTGGCGAACCATTTGTTTGTGCAATGCCAATATGGTACATTTTCTGTGCGAAGTTAAGCTGCAACGCATCTGTCTTAGTTTGGTAGTACAACACCATGTTCAGTTTTATCACTTTTCGTTTGTTCTTTTGCAAAACTCCTGTCCTTGATCAGTCAGATCCTGTCAACCCAAGTTGTTGTGGTTCTTGTTGCTCCCTTTTCGTCCTACAGGTAATTAGGCTGGTCGGATACAGATGATGCATCTCTCCTAACTTTATATGTTGCACCATTTAGTCATTGACATCACCTCAGCTACTTGACTTTAGTTTCTAATCTTTCACACGTATGTAGCAGGAATGTTTAGATCAGCAAAACTTAGATTGCCTGTTTTGTATCGTCCTGTCGAGTGTCTTGCAAAATATTACTTCTTCGCTGGTTCCTAAATTTCTTGAATATCACAAGGTGTGGCGTGATACATTGTGAAGCAAACTCAAAATATCCAGGTACAAGCTCGTGATTACTATCTTCTTTTCTTGGTTAGCGTTTCATTGACGATATGTGGACCAACTCGACGCCTTCATAGATTCGTTCGTAAACGTCCAGGAGTGTACGCTAGCGCTATTAAGCCAGGTTTTATTGGCCTTGATATGCATGCGTTTAACTTGCGAGGTGACTGTACGTCCAAAGTGCTGAAATTGGTCTATGGAGAATGAATCCAAATGAAAACAAATGGATCTGAATGAATTCGAAGAGAAAATTGATTTTAAAATATACTCGATCGTTTTGTAGCCTTATCGATGACTACATCCATTTCTACATATTTTGTCCTTTCCTCACAAAAATAAATGTGAAAGCATTCATTTATAACCTGATTATCTAGTGCATCTTAAATATCAATTTTTTCAAGCTCTGTCAGCTAGTTCGGTCCGTGCATTCATCCAGTAAGTGGACGCCGAGAAGTTAGCCCCTCAAAACCTATTCTTTTTGACAGGTTTTACGCCGACACTGACTGCGGAGCGTACAGGCCACCAATTGTCAAACTTGACCAATCCAATAAAAGCTTAGTAAAGGTCAAACGCCCTTATTCATGCCAGGAAAGCTCAATCGGCTTTGATGAATAGCAATAGATGCGTCAACGAGTCGCTTGTGCGGGCCATTTTCACGCATTTTTTTGCGTCTATAGTTTTGGCTTCCTTTTAATTGGTTAAAATTGCATTAATCGTTTTGAGTAGTAACTGATAATACTTTAGAGTTAAACTTGCGACATACTGTTGCAGAAGTGGTCAAATACACCAGTGAGCAATTGTATTGAGTGGTTTGTTAATGCTCTCCCTAGCTGTTGAAGCTCCTTAGCTCTTCGTATCCACTCATCATACAATTGAATCGTATACACGTTAACCAGTCCTTGTGTACTTGCACCATGACTATACATCTGATGCAGATCGATCCAGCCAGTTGAACCGTGACTGGAAAGTTCCTTGAGACAATCTGTAGCCAGTTGATTTGCGCCTTGATCTCGTACTCGATTACCTTCAACAGTAACCACCATTGCCTACTTAACAGCAGTGCTGCCGTCATTGTCGAAGATAAGCACTAAACCCAAGTTCCGTTCGAATAAGACCTCACGGACCTCGAAAGCACTGGCATAATGCATACGCTCCTTTAGTGTGTCGGTGCTGACGTGAAGACAAATCGCACTGATTTCGAGTCAGTAGCGCTGACATTAGCATGTCGGCTGGTTCGATAAATAGGGTATGGAAGCGCGGTCGCGACACCATGGTCCACTCATCGGACCTCCTGGATGTTCGATCCAACATCAAGGATAAGAAATGCAAGAAAAGGTTCAATTTATATGCAGCTCACAAGAGTTGGAGGCTGCGCCGTCTCGTATGCAATACACACTCTGCTCTTTGGCACGTGTGACGGGAGTTCCGGCCTCTACGCTCTCAAGCAGGTTCCAGTGTAATGGAACCAAGGCGACTCCAAGCTGAATCAAACCCCTGCTGAAGGAGATGAACAATTGCGCGCGGATAGCTTTCAACAATCAATCTGTCGACGAGTCTACGCTGCTTCACTCCCCGATGTACGACGTAGATTCATCCCGATAAGACGTGATTAAAAGAGAGTCTCAGCGGGTGTACTTATATTCTAATGAGCCGGCGCCACTCAGGTATGTACGTTTCCTATTATAATTGCAGACGGGTGTACCGTGCTAATACTATTGATCTTATGTGTAATTTTAAACTATTACAAAGCAAGCGGTTTGTCTGTAGGGTCATATTCTTAGCAGCAGTCGCCAGGACGAGAAAGAACTCCGCCAACGGTGCTTGATTTGATGGGAAATTGAGCATCTGGCCTTTTGTGGAACGGACTGTCGCGCAGAGTACCAGCAAGATGTACCTAGTTGGAACTGCTGAACTAAATCTTGCGACTGCCGTGAGGTAGCGGAGTACGTGGATATGTTGCTAAACAACGTCATACATTCGATCTGCGTCAATTTTCCGTGATGCAGCCAACGTGGCGCTGTTGACTTACAACTGGATAACGCTTGACCACAAGTTAAGAAAGATGACCCGCTTGTGAGTGGGGCTGGACGCCAATTGTGCCTTGACCTGATCGTGCCAGCCTCTTTATCGCCCAAAATTCAACGTGGCGGACTTAGGATATGCTCGATCTAATTAGACACTGCAACATGAAGTTGCGCCTCGCAGCTACGAGGATTCGGTAGATGCAGTCGACTAGTCGCTCATGGGTCTTAAGATGAAAAAAATAGAAGATGTATTACTTTCACTGTATGTTTTAGATGCTTGCTGTGCACTTGTTCAAAGGTAGTTAGAAGTAAAAGTAAAATAAATTTAGCAATAACTATTCTCCTTCGTCAATGCTACAACATGCACCTGCAACTTGACCATATATACCTCCCTGATGGCATCCATCTTTCCTGCACATCCTGTACGTCGGTCACATATTGCAACGGTATCGCCTAGTCCCAACCGTCAAGTTGTCACCTCGCCAGCCCATCTGTCGCATCTTCGCCCTGTCTATTCCTGTCCCATCTGTCCGATCGTCTCCTCGTGGTCCCACATGTCACCTGGTATTACCATTGGCCAATCAGGTGAGACCGTCACGTTTAATATCCCTTGAGCCTCGAACCTGTCAAACATGATCGTTTCTAACATTCACTACAGTCGTGTAACACTGCAGCACTGAAAGAAAATGGTGGCAGTGACTATGAGTTTGGTTGCTGCTGTTTTTGCTGATGCCACTGCTTTTTTGCTACCGCTGCTCTTGCTACTGCTTATAGTGTTATTCGTTTTACCACTGCTTTGTGATGTTTTTGTTGGTATTTTAATCTACTTTAATAGTTGCGGGGTAGAATTTCGCTTTTTACTTGTAAGTTATTGTCACTTTAGCATATCTACCCATTAAATTGACTATGATGATCTAATTTATCTGATTGATTCTCACATACTGATTCAAAGGCTTTACC